TCAGTTGCTGACTAGGCCCAGCTTTGACTTTCTTGTCGGCACCAGGGGCCACAGCACCATGTAGGTGTGTTTGTCAGCTTCCCCTCTTGTGAGTCTCGCAGGTTGCCCTCCAGACCTCGGATCGAGCCTGCAGTCTCAGGACGGCTCCAGCGCAGGATGGCAGGCACCATCTCAGGGCAGGTGGAGACAGGCACAGAAATACTGGATGCCCTCATGGGTGAGGTACCAGAAGTATCTCCAGGCAGACTGCTCCTTCACATTCCCTTGGGACTTGAGAGACTGCGTGGCTTTCATGATGCGAAGGTTGGGCACATTCTTGTCTGCCAACTCCAGGTGCTTGGGCATATGGACAGCCTTTTTGGCCACCATCTCTCCTTAAAGAGTTTATAGAAGGCAGTCTGGTTTTTCTTGGACATCAACATTGCGATGGCTACAGGGTTGGGGCCAAGGCTGGAAATGTCCCATTTTCTTACATAATAGACTCATTTGAAAATATAAAATGGTAGCCTAAGTTTATATTAATAGTTATACTTTACCAGAACTATTATCTTTACTTTCATTTATCAGTATCTAATAATACCACTTGAAGATTATTCTTAGTGCCACTTTTAGTTCTATGCAGTAAACTTTTTAGAGTTTCTTAAATCTGGAGCCAGCCAGTGGCATGGTGGTTAAGGCAGCTGGATCTCAGGTGACTGACAGCATGGTTAAAGTGCTGGAGTGTCCATGCATGACTAAAATCCCAAAAGGAAAAGTGGAGAAGGGATTGTAGCATGATTATCCCCTTTGCAGGGTGTTTTCCTGTTTTCCTTGTCTGTGTGTCCTCCTGCAAATTACCAAAGAAAAAAAGATTTCTTATATCTATTCAACTTTACTGTGCATTGCTATTTGTAATTCACATTAGTCTTTATTAGGTATTTAGACTTTAAGTACAGCTTTGATTTCTACTCCCAAATGTATACATATTTTTTGATACATAACTTAAAATTTTCTAAATGCTTTTAAATTTGAGTAAGGATATAATAATTATTCTACTTAAAAATAAAGGAATTTCCCGTTTTTCTTGACTTTTCCTTAAAAAACATGTCATACTTTTAACTGGACAATAAGCCCTCTTATTGAACACTCTTGTTCATAGTAGTGAGGCCAGTAAGTAGTCCTGGGTTTAAAATTATTTTCTCTTAAATGACCACTGTCATATATGGATAACTTAAACTTCAGGAAGAAGTTTTTTTCTTTTGTAAAATTATGGGTTTTGGAAATCTTATTTATTAGGACTTAATTCTTTTGAAAACATCTTAAACCAAAATAATAATATATATTTGGTCTATAGACCAAGATTGAAGACAAAATTAAATCTGAGAAAGAGGGAAAGTGAGAAATGATCCCCCACAGGGGATAGCCATGGCACAGTCTTTTCTCTTTCAGTGTTCTGTTGGGATTTTGTACGAGCACATATACTTGCCCAGCGTGATTTTTTTTTTTCAGGCCACCAGGTCCAAGACTTGAACCATGTAGTCAGCCATGTGAGACCCAGTGCCTTAACCTCCACACCATTTTTTTTCTTTATTTTATTTTATACATTCAATCAATATACATCACTGAGCTTGTAAAGTTAATTTACCCAGCATGAATACACTTCACACCAGTCCAGTTCAGGATACTATACACATTATCATCAAAAAAAAAAAAAAAGTAATTCATTTCTGTGTCCCTTAAATGTCTTGCCTCTCTCTTTTTCTCTTTAATTTCTTTCCTCATACTCTCCCCCTTCTCCCACCCTTTTCCCACACTGTCTTAAGTATCCCTCACCATTTTCCATATTTCATGGTTTGGGGGCAAAAGGTCCTATAGATGTCCGTCAAGTCCATTTCATTTATGGTATTGTTTAGATCTTGTATCTCTGTTCTTTTTTTTTTTTTTTGTCTAGATCTATCTAAAAGAGATAATAAGGGGGTCAAGATTCTCAAGAATTGGGACCAGCAGTTGGCATAATAACTATGTCGCTGGACTCTCATGTAGTCGACGACGGTTCGCGTCCCAGACCCGGTGGCTTAAAACTCATGCCGGGCACGTGTGTGTGCGTGCCCAAGATCCCAAGAGGAGAATGGAGGAGAAGGAATTGCAGCGTGGCCATCCCTCCTGGGGGGTGATTTCTCGCTTTCTGTCTCTCTGTCTGGCGAGCTATAGGGCGCACGCGACCTATAGCAAAAAAAAAAAAACCTCCAAAAAAAAGATTCTCAACAATTAATGTGTTGCAGTTTATCTCTCCTTTTATATCTAGCAATCTCCTTTATGTATTCAGGTGCTCCTAAATTGGGTGCATAGGTATATAAAGCATTATATCTTCTTGATGAATTAGGCCTTTTTCCACTATGTAGTACCCTTCTTTGTCTTTCTTACAGTTTTCGTCTAAAAGTCTGTTTTGTTTGAGATCAGCTTCAGGACTCCAGCCCTTTTTTAGTTTTCTGTTGCATGGAATACCTTTTTTCAGCTCTTCACTTTTAGTCTATGTATGTCTTTATTCATGAGGTGTGTTTCTTTCAGGCAGCAGATAGAAATCTTCTATTATCCTATTATTTTATCCATTCAGTCAGTCTTTGCCTTTTGATTGGAGAATTTAATCCATTAACATTCAGTGCTATCATAGATATTTCCGGTCTTGTAACTACCATTAAGTTGACCATTTTTTGTCTGTCTGTTTTTAGTTTTCCTGATATAGTACTCCCTTCAGAACTTCTTGAAAAGCTGGCTTGGTGTAGGTACATTCTTTCAGGTTTTGTTTATCTGAGAACGTTTTATCTTTTTTCTTTTTCGCCATTTGAAGGATAATCTTGCCAAGTATAGTAATTTTGGTTGAAATTGTTTTTCATTGACAACTTTGAATATATTTTCCCATTCTTTCTTTGCTTGCATTGTTTCTGGTGAGAGGCCCAAAATTAGCTTGATAGAGTAACCTTTGTAGGTAACTTGACATATCTTTCTTGCCAATTTTAGTATCTTGTCTTTGTGATTTTGATCAGTCTGGCTATGATGTGCCATGGAGAAGATCTTCTCAGGTTGATTCTGTTTGGGATCCTTTGTGTTTCTTTTGTTTGGTTTGTTTTGTTTGCTATAGGGCACGTGCACTCACCAGAAAGACAGAGGGAGACAGAAAGTGAGAAGTCACCCCCCAGGGGGGAATGGCCATGCTACAATCCCTTCTCCGCCATTCTCCTCTTGGGATCTTGGGCAAGCACGCACACACACCTGGCATGAGTTTAAGCCACCGGGTCCAGGACTCGAGCCACAGTTCATTACATGGGAGTCCAGCGACATAGCCATTACACCAACTGCTGGTCCCAAAGATCCTTTGTATTTCTTGAGTCTAGACATTTGAATATTTCTCTAGATTTGGAAAGTTTTTTTCCAGGATTTCATGGAATAGATTATCAATGCCCTTATTAGTTTCTTCACCTTCTAGGATACCAGTCTGGATATTTGGTTTAATGGTATCTAGTATTTCTCATATATTCTCATTTTGGGTGGTTATTTTCTCAGTCTTTTTGGTGATTTTTTTTTCTACATCAGAGGTCTTCTACATCTGAGATTCCATCTTTTGCATAATCTAATCTGCTTCTTCTTCCTCTTCTTCCTCTTCTTCTTCTTCTTTGTTAGAGATATTTTTGGTATAGGGCATGTATGCTTGCCAGAGAGACAGAACGTGAGAAATTATCCCCCAGGGTGGATGACCACACTGCAGTCCCTTCTCCTCCACTCTTTCAGGATTTGGGGCATGCACACACATGCACCCATCATGAGCTTCAAGCCCCCAGGTGCAGGACTCAAACTGTGGTTGACCACATGGTAGTTTAGCGACACAACCACTACACCATCTGCTGGTCCTAACCGTCTGCTTTTAGTACTTACCAGGGAGGTTTTTATTTCATGTATTACAGCCTGCATCTAGAAAAAAAAGGTTTCAGCTATCCTGATCCCTGATAACGAGCAGGGCATGCCTTAGATGTAGACAGCTTCTGAAAGGGCCTGTGATTTCCCTGTCCCTTCTAGGTTTTGGGGTCTGGAAGGTGAGGTTGGAGAATAAAGGTTTTGGCTGCACTGGTCCCTGATACAGGCAGGGCATGCTTCAGATGTACATGGCTTCTCCCTCCATGCCATTTTTAAGGGCCAGCCCTGAAGCACAGCTGTTAAACCCAGTGTATAGTTCACCTGAACTTTACATACTGCATATCCATGGGATGGATGATCTGTTGGTTATTTTTAAATGCCACTATTAATTAATAGCAGTCAGTAAAGCATCATTTTTTCTCTAGCAGACTGTTTTCTAAACTGTTAAGTTTCCTCTTCTCCCTGATTACCTCACAGTTTCGTTCTGAATACAAGCCTGGGGGTGTCAGAAGTGATTGAAATTTAGGGACCAGCAGGTGGCATGGTGGTTAAGGGCATTAGACTCCCATATGGCTGGCCACGGTTGGTGTGCTGGACCTGGCAGCTTGCTTTCTCACTTTCCTACTTTCTCCCCCTCTCTCGCTCTGTCCCTCTCTGGTCAAATTGAAATGAATGAATGAATAAAGTGAAATAAAATAATTCTTTAAAAAAAAAGAAGTAATTGAAATTAAGATTTAGGGTTTCAGTAAAAAGGCTTACTTTTGGGGCTGGCAGGTGTCATGGTGGTTAAGGGCACTGGACTGCCACATGGCCAGCCACAGTTATCCTGGATCTGGTGACTTGCTTTCTCTCTCTCTCTCTCTCTCTCTCTCTCTGTTCCCTTTCTGGTCAAATTAAAATAAGTAAATCAAGTTAATAATTTTTTTTTTTTTTAAGAAAAGGCTTACTTTTGGTCAAAAGGCAGATTTCCGACAAGTAAGTGTCTTCTTAGGCTATTTACCAAGAGTAAGTCATGGTGAGGTTTTTTTATTTTGATGTTTCCTCTGAGACACTTTAAAATACTGTCAGGCAATCTAAGTAATTTTTTCTTCTTCTTTTTTTTTTTTTTTCAGCGGGTCCATATGGAATATTTGCTGGTAGGGATGCCTCCAGAGGACTGGCAACATTTTGCCTAGATAAGGATGCACTTAGAGATGAATATGATGATCTCTCAGATTTGAACGCGGTACAAATGGAGAGTGTTCGAGAATGGGAAATGCAGTTTAAAGGTACCTTTATTTTGTTGGGTTCTTTGGAAAAATTAAATATATGTTCAAAGTATATATTACTTCACGTGCTTTAGAATGACAAAGAATGCCATCAATATTCAATGATACTTTAAAATTGCTAAGTATGAATAAGATTGTTACATATAATAATTCTTTTGAAAATCTGCATTTAAGCATTATTACAAACCAAGTCTCACAAAAATTGTGACATTTTCCGTCTTTTAAGGCATGTTCATTAGATTTTTTTAATGTAGAGCTTCTATTTAAAACTGAATTGATTACTGATATTGATATTGTAATTATAATTTATTCCAAAATGATTTTGTTGGTCTTATTCTTGAACCGTGAAGGAAGAATACTGTTCACTTGATTACATCCTGCGCCATCAGTTTTTTCTGCTTGTGTGGTGCTGTGTCAGCTATTACCTGACCTGATCGTTGGAACAGTTACCCCAGCTTCTTGGCACTGGTACTGGCTCTACTGTATGAAGCAGTCCTCTGTCTAATCCTCTTGACAGTTAATTCACTTAACCTAAGTTTCGATTCCTGACCAAGAAACAACTAACCACATATCATCTTCTACATACAATGTTCTAAATTAAACACCTGATAACATGAAAACAAGCAAAATAATAGATGTAAGAAGAGTCGATAGGGGAGAGAACAAGAGTGTGATGGGGGCCACACCCTGCAACAGGGTAACCCATAATTAAATGGGTTTTTAACTCTTCCTTTAGTCTGTTTTCTTGAGGACTGCTAGCCTGTGTCACATTTTTCCCCAACAGTATTTCCCAGCTGGACCTACTTACCCTGTGATTCTCCACCTCGTACACTCTCCGCCCCCTCCTTCAGCACGAGGAAAGTCCATTTTCTTTATGATGCTCTTTTCCACTCCAAGATACTAGCCCTACATTTTTTGTTTTTATCTGACTTCTATGAAAAGTTCCATGTATATATTTATAGTTTTTTTTGGGGTGGGGGCTTTGTTGTTTGTTTTTAAAAGATGGCTTGTTGTGTCACATCTGTCCTACCTCAGCCTCTCAGCCTCTCTAGTAGGATTTTACCACATGTCACCTCACCTGGCCTTGCGGTTGGACCAGGAACAGAACCCTGGTCTCTCATGTGGTCCTAGCTGATGGAGTATAGTGCCTTAACAACACCCACCACTGTAGCTGGGCCTGTTTCTAAATTTTAAATAGCTATAGGAAAGTTCCTCCATTGCCAGCTGAGTTCTTTAGTTACAATATTTTGGGGTATTAAGAGTTAAAGAACTACTCTGAGATTCACAGTGCACCTAGAGTGAGACCCGCCTCAAAGCACACATCTCCAGGCCCAGCCCAAGAGCCTGGGCGGGCTAGCTCTAGGTTGGGTCCTGGATGGGTGTATTTTTTAAAAAGATCTTCAAGTGATTGTGATATAAGACTTAATTAAGAAACATGGGTGCAGGCTGCTCTTCTCTAATGAGTAATTCTTAAGCCTTCTGTTTCCTAATGTTGTTTTTTGCCCAGACTTCACATATGTGTAAAGACCTACGGGAGGGCTAGCAGGTGGCCTGGTGGTTAAGGTGCTGGATTCCCATAACGCTTACTACAATTCGAGTCCTGGACCTGGTAGCTTGTTTTCTCACCTTCTCTTGCACTCTCTCTGGTGAGCACATGTGCCCTATAGAAAGAATTAAAAAATAATAATAAACTAATAGATATTTTTTTTAAAGATCTGTGGAGAACTTAGTTTATTCTGTATGATTCTAAGAGGCAAATGCCTTCCCTCTGTGTAATAGAATGGTGAAATAAATTCGACCACTACTCATTTTCTTTTGATGTGTCTTTCAGAAAAATATGATTATGTAGGCAGACTCCTAAAACCAGGAGAAGAACCATCAGAATATACAGATGAAGAAGATACCAAGGATCACAATAAACAGGATTGAACTTTGTAAACAACCAAAGTCAGGGGCCTTCAGAACTGCAATTCTTACTCCCTTTCACAGAATGTCCAGCGTCTTTGGTTTGATTCACCTGCTGCGAAAAACATTCAACAGATTCTGTACAAGATAAATGGGATTCACTCTGAAGATTTGAATACTAGACATTATTTATGCTGCCAAACCATTTATTGCAGTTGTTTGTAATGTCTGGTGGGGCTTCATCATTCTGAAAAGACAGGGATTTTTTGAAGAGCAAGGAAGTTACGAAGTTACTTTGTCCCTTTTATTTTTTTCCTTTTGTAATATATCATAAACAACCAGACATGTATTTGCTACTCAAGTGTACAGATCTCCTCAAAAACAGCAAGGGACTCCTTATTCATATGCTGTGTCTTCATTTTAGCATCGGAGGAGGGAGGAGACCTGGACAGGGGAGGTGGGGATTGCACATCAATTTGAGTAGTTTAGGCTACTGAAACATGAAAATGTGAATTCCCACATTTTTCTTTTTGGGCTTTGTCAGGGAAAAGAAAAAACTTTTTATTTCTAAGAAATCTTTGGAAATTAGGAGATGGGATTTCAAGTGGATTTAAGTTGAAATTAATTCTCCAACAGTAAGATCATTTGAAACCAGTTCTCTCTTCCCTTTCCTTCCCCTGGATCAAATCAATATTAATTGTGCCTTATTTCACTTACATAGACTTGAATTATTTTTAGGGAAAGCCCCTACATGAATTTAGAAGTCACTACAAGCAGCATTGAGACTGAAGTTGAAATACTCTGTTGACTGCAAAACCTTGATGTCATTCTGTGTACATAGAATGTAAAAGGAATATTCAGTGTTAACTGCCATATATGTTAATACACAAATTAGCATTGTAATGGCCAAATGCATTCCCCCAGGCTTTTCTCTTTTCAAAAAAAATTGAAAGACAAATCGACAACTCTTATCCCCCAACAGCTGCCTAATTTTAGGGGTCTGACCCTCACATCTCACCGGTGTGGGTGCACGGGCTGTGGTGTGGATGTCTGAGTGGCTGTGTCTGAATGTGTGTGAGCGCGCCTTGGAAGGGATTCTGCAGATACTGTAAATACAAGTACCGTTTTAATAAAGCATGTACAATAAACCAAAATAAGCTTGAGTTGGACTCTGTATACAGAACGCTAAGCCAGTGCATTGAGATATGGCAGTCAGGTTGCATTTGATGCAAGATGAGGAAAAGTCTTGGAATAAAAAGCAGGCACTGGTTAACCAAGTTGTACACATTGTACCACATTCAGTATAAGTTTAAGAAGAAACCACTCCGTGGAACATTCTCAAGAGATCTGAGATTATTCAGGTAAGAATTGAGACATTAAAATGTACATATTTGTACTTTTTATTTTGATGCCAACTGACTATACTAGAATAGCACTCCAGGCAGTAGTTACTGAATCAGAGCAGGACAGGACAGGGTACTTATAGATAATAAATTCTTCCATTATTAGGTCAAAAAGTTCTCACTAAAATCTCTGTATGTCAGTTATTTTATTTCATCTTGACTATTTAGGTTCTTGGTTGGAGACAAGTTGTACCAAAAAAAGCAATTTTATATAACAAGTTACCAGTTAAAAGACTTGCCCTGCCTTATGGATATAATATATTGCAGAAGACATCAAAGAAAGGAAGTTTTATCTACAACAATAAGCTCAATATGTAAAATAACTACATTCTATTCAATCTTGGAATGTTTTGTAGAAAATTGTGTTCTTCAACCAGATCTTTGCAGAAGGCTGGTTGTGAAAACTGAAGAGTGTTGGTAAATGCTTTGTGTGTTTTTATGTAAAATATTTTCTAAACAAAAATTTGTTGAAGTACACATCCTCTGTAGTATGCTGATTTTATATATATATATATATATGTATGTATGTGTGTGTGTGTATGTGTGTATATATATATATATATATATGAATCATTCGCGCCTAAAGTTCACTAATAAATCTGCACTTGTTAATAGAGAAACCCCAAATACACAGTAAAAATTATGTGGTCTGTTAAAAATGAGTAATTTCGTGTTTTGGACTTGAAATAAACAGTGTTCTAGAGATAATACCTCACGTTCAGTTACTGTTTCGTTTTCAGGTAGTCTGATGAACAGTCTTTGAGTAGAAACTGGTCCTGTGGAGAAGTTGCTGTTTTCCTCCCCTTAGCCTGTTTCCCCAAACTTGCTGATTATTAGAGTCACTGAAGGTGCTTAAGGTACAGATGCTTGGCACCCAATCCACACCTACCACCTACTAAGCCAGAATTTGAAGGGAATGTGTCTTAGGATCTGTATTTATAAGAAGTGCCTAGATAATTCTGTCATCAGACACTCTTGAGAAACACTATACTCTCCTTATATCGGTCCATCTTTGTCAGGCTCTTGAAATGGAGCTTCACTCTTAACTTGTATCTGATTCTCTACATTTGGTTTCCTATCATTCCCTAATTGTTCTTAGAGTTTCTGGGTTTAAAATGAGATGTCACATAAAAACCTAATATGGGACTTCTGAAAATAGCACATTTTAATATTTAGATTTTTCTTTTTTAATTTTGCCAGAGGGCACTTGTACTTGTCAGAGAGTGAGAAGGCCGCCGTAGAGAATGACCATGCTGCAGTCTCCGTTTCTTTGGGGATTTGGGGCACGCACACACATGCACTTGGGTATTTTCCAGGGCTGCCTGCTGGGTCCAAGACTGTGCTGGGTGCACCTAGTGTGACCCAGAGCTGAGTACCTGTGAGATCCAGATTGTTCTGCACCTGCAGCTTACACGCCACCACAGGTGGGGAAAGGCTTGTGTTCTTATAACTAATATCAGTCCCACCTTAGGAGCCCCTTGCCTCCTTTCACTGTGTTCCCGGCCTCCACCCCGTCACAGAGGCCCTTCTTGCAGTAACCAGTCTATTCTAGTATAATTTAGAAAAAGACAGGCTAACGTGAGAAGCAGATTTAAATTTGAGCTTTCCAAAGGCAGACTGCAATGTGATAAACTATAATGAAAGCGAACTGACCCGATGGCTTTCCTGGGAGGAATGGCTTACTCGTGGGGAAGACTTACGCCTTTAAATAGTGCTGACCATGAGAAAGGAAAAAAACCAGGTCAGATAGGACTAAGTCACCTTCCATATATAAAAAAATGCAAGAGCAAACTTTTAGTTCCTCCTGTGTTTCAGAAACTGCCTGTAGTGGAAAGAGTTTAGGCCCCAGAGTGGGTCTGTTGCTTTCTGGTGGCCTCAAGCGAGTTTATTAACCTCTCTGAGCCTTGCTTTCCTGTGAAGAAAGGACTAATATTAAGTATTTTAGGTGGCATATCACTTTATTTAATATAATCCGAATAGTCCTTTGGTAAACAGAATTCTAAATCTGAAAAATGTTTTCTAGGTTTTCAGTTTACCTGTCAGTAACTGGTGCATTTAGTAAAGGCATTGACGTGGTATTAAAGGTTCAGAAAGCCAGGGGTCATTTCCACATTTACCAATATTCTTACATGTTCAGCTCATAATTTATTTGGGATCTGGACTTGGGAAGGGGTTATCCTGAAATCACTTGCATAATTTGATGAATTTGTAGATGGGAAGCCAGAGATGAAACAGATTCAACTGGGAAAACACCTCATTACTGGGCCTCCTCGCTGTAGAACAGTAATGCGCTTTGTGCGTGTTAACTTTTTAAAGCAGAAGCAAAATTGAGAATGCTAGAAGACAGCAAGGAGTGTCCAGCGTCGTTTCCTGTTTAGCTTCACAGATTTGTTTGCATTGTTTTAGCTGACCTTCTTTTCAGCTGCCACAGAATAATTGAGAATCACTTCACAGCCCAACTTGTGTTAAGCAAACTAGTAATTAGAGTGACTAAATATATGGCAAAAAGACTATTCAAAGATTCCCCCAAATGACCAATCAACTGAGTCTCTTAAAGCATATTCTGGGGCAGGGCCAGCAGATAGCATAATGGTTATGTCACTAGGCTCCCACTTAGTGGACCATGGTTCAAGTCCCAGACTTGGTGGCTTGAAATACCAGACACGTGTGCATGTGTGCCCGAAATCCTGAGATGAGGATGGAGAAGGGATTGTAGTGTGGCCATCCCCCCCCACGGGATTTCTCACATTCTGTCTCTTTGGCAAGTGCATGTGCCCTATAGCAAAAAGAGAGAGAGAGAGAGAGAGAGAGAGAGAGAGAGCGCCAGTAGATGGCATGCTAGTTGGAGCACTGGACTCCCACATGGTTGACCATAGTTCAAATCCCAGACCTGGTGGCTTGCTTTCTCACTTTCCTTCTCTCTCTCTCTCATGAATACATGTGCCCTAGGGCAGGTTGAAGAATAATAAATAAATTTTTAAAAAAGAAACATATTAGAACATCAGTCTTCCTAGACTTAAAAACCACTAGACTCAACATATCTCTGACATATTCTCCAGCCAGAATTTAGTTCAAATTGGCCTCTGCTTATGATGGTAATTTTTATTTCTCCCATGAGTGAGACAAAGAGAGACAGCACCCCCAACGGGCTCTTGCTGTCACAGTCTACTCCCAGCTTCAGCCGGTCACAAACACGGACACACGGGCTGGCCTACTCAGGAGCCTGCCCGCCTGCATTAGCCTGCAGAGAATCACATTTTGACCTGTGCGCCATGTGATGGTTTTTATACGTCAGCTTGGCCGTGGTACACGGTTGTTTGTCAAACCCTGGTCTATGTGTTGCTGTGGTACTTGTAGGTGTGATTAACATTTTCAGTCAGTTGAAGACCTTACAGACAGACAGGTTTCCCCAAAGAAGCAGCAATTCTGCCCCCAAACAAATCTAGAAAGCTCACCTGAGTTTTCAGATGACTGGTTTGCCCTGAAGATTTTGGATTCAAGACCGTGACACCATCTCACACCTCAATTTCAGCTGGCTGGTCCCGCTGATTTCAGACTTCACAATCCTGAAATATAATTCCTTAAATAAGAGAGTGTCTCTCATTCTTTTCAGTCTCTTGTCTCCACACACACCCACGCACGCACAGATTTAGACGTGTATCTGTCATGTCCTACTGGTTTTGTGTCTCTGAATACCCTGACTAATATGCTGTTATTTTCTACGTTTTAATACGTTAAAGATTTTTAGTCTTACTCTCTATTTGGAATTAAATAATAAATCCTTTCTTGACTTAGTTCAGTACTCAATACTTGATCTGATATGGCCACCTCGGCTTCAGTTCCTGATCCCTGAAAGATACTGCAGCGCTGAAATAACTTTACAATATGCCTCCCATTATTTCCGATAGTCTGAAAGAGCTTTTCATCTAACCTTTGAAATAAGATGTCATCAGATGTTATGAGAATGACCAAGAAAGATGAAGTAACCCATCTGATGTCCATGTCACCAAAGTCAATGTGACATCTAGGTCAAAGAGCTTAATCTAGTAACTTAATTCAGAATCGCATTGACCCCCGGGCCAGCAGGTGGCATAGTGGTTAAGGTGCTGGACTCCCATGAGGTCAGCCTTGGTTCTAGTCCTGGACCCAGCAGCTCAAAACTCCCATCAGGTGCATGTGCATGTGTGCCTAAGATCCCGAGGGATAAGTGGAGGAGGAAGGGTTGCAGCATAGCCATTCCCCTGAGGGGTGATTTCTTGCTTTATGTCTCTCTGGCAAGTACCTGTGCCTTAAGCAAAAATCTCTTAAAGAAAAAAAGCAGGACTGATAAAATCTACCTTTCCCCCCAACCATTTGAAGTCTCATTTCTATTTGACTTCAAACAACTCCTTAGTACCCAGAAGAAATACGAGCAGTTATTCAAATAGATTACCTCTTTTTAAATACGATTCAGTAAACTAACGTATCTGGGGGAACAATGCTTTATAAACTAAAAAGCATCATGGAGACCAGCAGTTGGCGTAATGGCTACATCGCTGGACTCCCATGTAGACAACCACGGTTTGAGTCCCAGACCCGGTGGCTTAAACTCACACCAGGTGTGTGTGTGCGTGTGTGCCCAGGATCCTGAGAGGAGAATGGAGAAGGCATTGCAGCATGGCCATCCCCCTTGGGGTGTGTGTGTGTGTGTGTGATTTCTCACTTTCTGTCTTTCTCTCTGGTGAGCACATGTTCTAGGGACAGTGGCTCAC